TTTTGTAGCTTTTATTTATTTGCTTTCCTGATAAAATAAACAACAATCTGTGACAGAAAACATCAAGCTTATGTTACTATTGCTTTGAAATTTATCAGTCGATTTTACAGAAGCACCCCTTGACAGTTTCAACTGTACTTATGGAAAGTAACTTATGTTACAAGTCGACACGTGTTTTCATTAGACGCCTAAAAGTAGCTAATAGCATATATAAAATTTATTATGAAGTAATAATAATGTGATGGGAACAATGACACATTGGTTAAAATACACTGAAACATTGGATATGAATATAGTTTTCATAATTAATATGTGATAATCCATTTTTATTTCTCAATGAGATATCGTTTCTCAAAGTACTAATCACTTTTTACTTTACATGATCTGAGAGTAATATGTTTATTTCTCTTCTGTCACTTACAAACAATAATGGTTATACACAAGGTTTTAGCAACGTTCGGCTATCATCACTGCATGACACCAGAATGGGCTTCACACAATCATATCAATCATTTCTGCTACATGTACCTCATATGAATAACGAACAATGTGTTAATATCAGTTGAATATTTTAATTATTTCTTAGTGAAAAATCATTTTATTTCTGAATAAGCCCCAGTGTGCGTTTTCCTGAGTTTGCGCCACAATGTGATCCCGAGGAAAGGCGTGAAGGATATACTCTGGAAGAGAAACAGAAAGGTCACAAAGACAGAACATTATGAGTATTGCATTTTTCGTCTCTATACTGCTGAGCTGAATAGACATGCGAGGTGTGGATATCAGGCGCCATATAATATATTATTATTGTCTTTATTTACCGTGGTTGGTAGGTTGGTTGGTTATGCAACGCCACACTCATAAACATTCCAGCTATATGACGGCGGTCTATAAATAATCGAGTTTGGACCAGACAATCCAGTTATTAATATCATGAGCATTGATCCACGCAATTGGGATACGATGAGATGTATCAACCAAGTCAGCGAGCCTGACCACCCGATCCCGTTACTCGCCTTTTACGACAAGCATAGTCACCTTTTACGGCAAGCATGGGTTGCTGAAGACCTGTTTTATCCTGGAATCTTCAAGGGTCTTATTTACCGTGACCATAATTAGAATGGAACATCCTGTCATCAGCCACGGGAAACCAAAATTATCCATCATTATCCCAGCTAGAATAGGACCAGAGAACGTTCTGCAAAACAATATGTTTGTATTATTCTTGTTGATGACGAACATATTCATTATTTTCTCTTTTAGATGAATGAATCGCTATCATATAGTGATTATACCTGGTGTATACCATTAGTGGCAGAAATAATTAATTCAAGTCAAGTCAACAACTAAAACAAAAAAAAGCACGAGAACATATGGTACAAGTTAGAATAGGGAATTGCATCACGATAATAATTTTCGCTGATGCCTCAAATTTGAAAGCTATACTAAGGCCTTGAATGTTGTAACCCTGATCCAACAACTTTAGGGCAAGAGCCGTTTGAAGCTCTTTGAAATCTACTAATCTAAAGAGTTTAACGCCGCTTTTAGCAATAATACAGCAATATCACGGCGAGAGACACCAGAAATGGGCTTTACACATTATGCCCATGCAGGGAATCGAACCCGGCTCTTCGACGTGAAGAGCGAACGCTGTAACCACAAGGTTAAACAACCGCCCCTACTAATCTAGATATTTTGTTCGATTGTGCCTCAAACGTTGTGCATTGTAGACACCAAAGGGTGAAACTGCTGGAATACTGATCGGCATGAAGAAAAGGTGACTTTTGGCTAACAACAAGTGACATCTTTTAACGTCATTTGGGATGACGAAATAGGGAATGTAACCACCGTCCTTCTGTTATCCAGGCAGTCACTGTATTCAAAACCCCGAAAGGGTGGTATCATCCCAAGGACGCATACTAAGATCGAGAGCCTGACAAACCAATCCTGAATTTAATCAACAAGCTATAACAAGAAGAGTGATGTTCTAATGATCCAAATCCCAAAAGTGTTTGGCCTTTCTAGACATTATACACGTGAAAGGAACTTTATAAAAAAACATTATTTAGCATACTCATGTAAATGAGGCTTTTCAAAGAGTTTACGTTAATTTGACCGCACTCATATCATGCGTTTCTTCTTTTATAAGTTTATCTTGGCACTCGATAGCCCGACTTGATCATCCTTATGGTTGGCAATTAACGTGATACGGTTTTGAGCTCTTCGTTGGCGACCAAGTCACTGGAATGGTCTTTCTGAGGCTGTCCTGATTCTTTGTGTGCTGAACGAAGCCTTTTGTTGTATGGCATTTTTATTAGGGCTTATATACTTTTAGCTAGAAGTTATGAAGCATGAGCTTGGCTGAAATTGAGGCTCAAAATATTAACCTGAATTCTGATAGTTTTCTCTTAAACGTAACTACGGGCATGGTAGGTTTTGTTTCTAAGTTGTCCTGAACCAGGCATGTGTTTTGCGAAACCGGAAGTGCGTATAACGTTCCTATTAATGTTGTTAGAGGCATGGGTCTTCTTTATAAGTCAAATGACATGTATGTTTCCCAAAACTGGCAATGATATCATTCAAACGGAAATGCAAGTTGTACACTTTTTTTCCCAAATGGAAGACCTCAAAGTATAATAGCTGCAGTCATTTGTCTTTCTGTCAGCACTGGCCTTGCATTTGACCGTCTCGGAAGTGATGCCATACCGGACTTGCGTTAAGTCCCGTTTTTGTGTAACGCATTAGACAAAGGATGGAAATCAAAGCTGAATAGGTATAGATATTGGTGAGGTCAGTTCTCTTTTGTAAAGTCAACACGATTCACGATACATGTTTCTGTCGGAACCACTTTGGGGCCTTCAAGTAGGGATGGGTCTGCTTCATTCATAACTCTCACATTTCTTCCAGTTACTTAATTATAATATGTTACGAGCCAGCTGAAAACTGTATGCATGCTTATTGACAGAACAAAAAACCATACATGTCTCACCCTATGTAAGTAAATGACTGAATAATGCCTGCCAAGAATCCGAAGGTAGCTACATCATCCTCAAGTCCCGATTCTCTGAAACATAAAAACACATGTGTGTGTGTGTGTGTGTGTGTGTGTGTGTGTTTATTGTCTCATACTCATCAGGAAAGAGTTCATATGGGCAGACTCTATGACTTGGCGTGTTGCATGTCATCGTACTAATATGCAATTCAACTTGAGTTTTGTACCAGTACTAAATATTAATTCAAAGTATGCTTATAACACACCGTTTACGTCTCTAGAACTCTTGCAATGCAATATTCTATGGATTATATTGCTTGGTAGTCAGCATTTACGTCGTGGTCGTTATTATCTATATGTATTGTTTATTTTATTTCCTTTAACACCGCACCAAGCGATGTTCCAGCTAAACGAAGTTAGCCTGCAAATAATAGAGTCTTGACCAGACACTCCAGTGATTAATATTGTGAACAACGAACCACGCAATGCACCAAATCACCAAGTATGACCGTCCGATCCATTTAGTCACCTCTTCCGAAGAGCATAGGTTTCATAAGATCAATTCTAAATCAGAATAACCACAAGGGCTATAAAAGTAAACTGTGAACGCATTTAAGAATTATTCAAACTTACGACACTAAGTGAGACCAAAAATATCACTTTAATCAAACATCACTGGAATAAATATATGATACATATCTATTTGTACTTTTCGGAAACGAAATATTTACCTAGATAATACGAACTACTCATGAAAATATCATCTTTGTAAGGTCACTCTAATGATTGTTTGTTGGTATTGTAGTCACACTAATTCTTTCCTGTTCTCTCACGCGTGACTTTGAAATCAGTACTTTCTTCAATCTGAACAACGTCGCCTGTTGAAGAATTGGAAGTTTTGAGTTTGGTAGAAACAAGTATATATTTCAGTTGCTCAGTATCATTCCTCGTTTAAAGTCTTAACGTTCTCGACATAGATATTCCGATGGTATTTTCAATTTTTACAGAACAAACCTCGCTCCCTCGTATATGCACTTCACTGCACTAACAGCGACAGGGGCAAAAGAAAGTCCCATGAATGCAGTCATCAGTATTGTCAGCCACAACACGCTGGTATTAGACAAACGATATTATACAATGTTAGAGTCCATAAACATAATCACATAAAAGGACTCAGCTTCATTCACATCACATTTTTAATTTCAGACGCTGATTAGCAAACAAATTTACTTAAGTCTATACATGTATTTGAACTAACACCGACATAAAACAATAACGCTATTCTGTTATATGTAAATATTAATTTAGTTCTCTATCGTTACTTAGGGTCGAATTTGGTTCGTGAAAACGAGCTCCACCATGTTGCTCTGTGAGATTGTAAGTAAAGTAAGATTTAGTTTTACTAATACCTACTTCTCTGTAAATGAATTTGGATCACTCAAAAGGAAGGGAGTTAAAAAGTAATTCAGTTCAGTCACCAAGTGTCAGAAAGCCGAAACAATGTACCTCTTTTAGGCTTACCGCATTCGTGAAACCACAAGTGACTGAGTGAGTGAGTGAGTGTTTTTGATTTAACGCCGCTTTCAAACAGTATTTCAGTTATATCACGACGTGTCAGCTTGATGTGGGAAGATATCCAAAGTGATGCAGGTATTAGAAGTTTACCACTTTTCTGAAACCCATAAGCGTGGGTATGATGGGCGGCGAGCTCTGGTATGGTGCCAACTCATTTAAAAACACATAATTCGGGCGAATCGATCATAGGAACCAGACATTATTTCTTACACGACGATTTTTATATCTTTTTTTATTATTTAAGACATGTGATATACATATACTGCCAGTGTATGTGTCCACAACATTAAGAAAGTGTCGTGTACATATTTTGGTTAGGTCTGTTTTTTAATTTGATTTGAGTTCTCAGTTCTCTTCAAAACAATATCTAATCCTAGTACAGACACTCATTTTGTTATAAATACTATATCGTAATAAAATACAATGATATTAACACTTACGTCGGAACAAATCCCAAAAATGGAGCTGGTCCAAAAAATAGGGTACTTGTGGAAAGACACCACAGTGCTACCCACAATGTAGGGACTGCTGACACCTGGTATGAAAATGAGAATTGTTACCACATTTTGATAACAACTGTTTCGTTTATATTTGACATCTTCAAATATTCACTTGCCTGTCTCAACAGCGATAGAGCATCGATCCAAATGAGCGCAGTAGCACAAAAGAAAAACAGCCACAATCGTTATCCTATCACGATGGTAGCTCTCATATTTCAACATAAAATTTACGATAATAATAGTGCTATGTGTAGCCTGGCCTAGTCAGGTAGCATTCATACCCTGACGCAAATGTGATCACGTCATCCCGATTTCATCGGACAAGGATTGCTCTGACCGTTTCGTCCCTAAAATCCCAAAGGGATGCATAATCAGCACGGTCATAGCTAAGAGAGTTGGAGAAAGAAGGTTTGCAGTGGATTCATTTAGACATTTGCTCCTCAATTTCACAACCTGTCAAGAATATTGTCCAGTATTTCCAATTCTGCTCAAATCTCCGAAGATAATGTCGAATTATTACAATGGACATTTTAACATGGTATTTCTTATCGATGCTGAAGTGCAATACCTAAAAACAGAGAGTGCTATAGAATTTGAACATAATAATGCGTGATAACTGATAAACGAAAATGTTTTTTTTTGTGATCGTGTAAGTGAAACTGAAGGAAATGTTTGTTTGGTTGTTGTTTAATGCCGCCCTATTCAGGCCATAATCGAATCGAAACCAGACAATCTAGTGACTGATATCATGAACATCGATCTGCACACCTGGGATACGATGACATGCATCAACCAAGTCAGAGAGCCTGACCGGCCGATCCCGTTAATTGCCTCTTACGACAAGCATGGGTTGCTGAAGACCAATTCAAACCCGAATCTTCACAGGTCATAACTGTTTGTATTATATATACTCAATACAAGAATGACATACATGTTTGTCAAGTAGATATCCCCAGAGCGGCGTGGCAAAGGCGTACACAGAAGGGGGTATCATGAAGATGAGACCAATTATACCTTGGCTGAGGTGAAACTGAAATAACAAATAAAGCAGGAGTATGAACATGATAAACACTTCTGTAAAATATTCAAGCGATGTAAATAAAAGTGGAAAACCCCTTTCCATAACCATATGAAATCTCTGTTGAACCAGATTGTGCGACTCCGACTATACCGTGAACAGGTGTTTATGAATCACTATAAAATAGTTACGATACCAGGTGTCGGCGTATTCAGCCCCGATGGTGGCACCCTACACAAACACATGCAAAGGCAAGTCAAGTTTACACTAAAAATACTCTCCAACGTGAGTGGCGATGTTATGCTCCCTGTCACGTGAGCATAAACATGGTTTCAATACTCACAAATCTTCATATGATATTTTTCTCAAGTGTACACATATGTATAGTTCAGATACAAGTTCGACTCATATATCATGCCTGATCATGCTTACCTGTGTCAAGTCCTTATCCTGATCATGCTTACCTGTGTCAAGTCCTTATCCTTAGCATGCCTACTTGTGTCAGGTTTTGGGCCCCGTTCCTCAAAGCGATCGTAGTACTAAGGCGATCGTAACTCCCATACCTTGACATAGACTTACGACAATCGTAGCACTAACAGGGCTCAGTGTAACTAACCATGGTGGTACCTACCTGTGTCAGATGCTGGGCGTAGAACGGGTACATGGAGTTGAAAGTGAAGAATGCAGCATAGATGGCGAGGATTCCAAACCACACTGATGGGCTTCCAAAGACAGCAAAACCAGACGGTCTTTGTGTTGGAGGAACAGCTACAGCATAATGATTTTCGGAATATATCGGAGATGTGGGTCGATCAGTTTTACACAACAGTGTATATATGAATTAACCAGATAATGATAATTAAAAAGATGTGTATGGATAGAGTATGCCAGCTCGAGCATAATGGCAATGGACAAATCAATCCCAATGCATATACCACCAGTACATAATGCTACATGATAGTAAATATATGAATATACCCCAAGTACATAATGTTACATAGCAGTTATGTAAGGATAGACCAACAAGTACATAATGTCACATGACAGTAAATATATGGATAGACCTTACGACAGTTTAACTGAGGATGGACCCATGCTATCAATATGCTTATGCAAGGACAGTCCCAAAAGGATACAATATTAAAGATTTATAGGCACGGCAGGGTAAAATGTCATGTTGTGGTTGATAAAAGGGGCAAATTCGAAGGCCAAAATGAGTTGACAATTTAACATAAGATACATATCCACTACATAACACATTGAATGAGATATTGAGAGCTTAACAGCTCTGAACAGTAAACTGAGGTGCCTTAGGCGATAACATGATTATGACTACGTGTTGACCACACATATTATTCTGGTCGATAGTCCGCATACCTGTTGTTGTCAGGAATAAGGAGAAGTGAGAATAACATGACTCAATGTTATATATTTATTGATAGAGTAAGGTTATGAAACATACTGTCTTGATGAGGCAGGATGACATATGATGCACATCCACAGGCAAACGTACAGCCCCCGAGCACCCAGAATGGGAGGCCATACCCTCCTAGCTGAAGTGTAAACATTTGCTTATATGAACTACAAGTATCAAAACGGTATCAAATGTGCATTGTGATAGGACATAAAAGAATGAATTGATATGTTCGAATATATGGGTAGATGAGAACTATATGAAAGGGAACATGTCTGAACTCAGCTATGGTTCATATGCGCGATACGTTTGATTGAAAAATAAGTCAAAGGTTGCTGTCACTGAAAATCAATTACACCGTGGTCGATATCACTAAATACAATTACCTTTTCATGGATTTATTAAATGGCTTCAGGAAATACTTGGCAAGAAGCACGTTGACTGATTTGCAGGAAATATCATACTGATAGAACAATGTTTCATTACTTTAATCCAGATTTACGAAGACTCATAAATAAGTAGTAACATGTTGAAATATAATTATATAATAATCGAATTGATGGTGGCTAAATTTGTCATTCAAATAAGTTTCGGCGACCGTTTACGTCCTAGTAATTGTTTGAAAACGTTGTTATGTTTTGGTCAAACCCTATTTCATAGTGTATACTCTTTTGCCCGGCAGTTTATATAGGGTTGGTTATTACGAAACAGGACAGCTGACACGCCACAGTTTGTCTATGAAATCGTCCATCGCGTGTTCAATACGTCATGCTCACAATCATCACTTTTGTCAAGGTTTTGTTGTCTGATCCCCGAGATCCGAGTGTGTAGAAAATTTGAAACAATGGACAGCTCTTAAATTTGTGGAAATAATGCCATGTTTTGATCATAACATGTTTTTGAACATAAATTATTTATAAAATATCGAGAACTCCTTTCTGAAATTCTACATGTACAAGTACTTGTGATATGTTTGAACAATGTACTGGATGACTTTGTTATATATCTATGGCAATAAATACATTTTGGTTGTGTTCATTGTTATTCCTGCATTCTGATTAGCTGAATGGGGCACATGTTATTGCATTCATTTCCTAATGAATGTAAAAAATTAAGCCACGCCCACCGAGGCGGACAACTTTATTACAACTCTATGTCGGGGAATCCCAATATTACAGTCGAGGGAATTCCCTTTCTGCTCACGTGTATCGTCATGCACAGGAACTTCAGCGAAATTTATGCATATTCATTGTCCCAACAACTCTTTGAGACCGAAGGCCGAGAAGGAATGACACAGCAAACATGCAGGCTCGCTCGTCTGTTTTTTCCCGCTCGCCTCGGTTAAACAACTTTAATGTCTTCGGCTTTCATTTCTGACTAGCATTTTTTCAAATGTGTCTTCCCGTTCTTAGGGAACTCATGTTTGAATCTGGCGGTAACTGGTCATATCATTGCAAACAGTCGCCTTCTCCCGGACATATTTGTTCCGGTTTGTTACAGTCTGACTGTTGCAGTTCTTCTCGCCTCTTGCATTGATTGACAGGTCATGTGAACTTTGTTTTTATCCTACATTCCGTTGATTGGCTACTGACTTTGTAGGCGTGGAAAGTTATGAGCATAAATTAAACAACCACCTGATTCATGTCACGCCACAGTATGGATTCCAACACCAGGAATGTTTATCAATCTCGTCATTTTTGTCTGCTTTGATATATACAACTGTTTTTGGTTAAAATAAACTACTATTGTAGATAAAACATGTTTTCGTTGTTGAATTTAATGTTAGCATTGACTGTGTATTTTTTTTATTAATACCTCAATGAACCGAAAAGAATACACAGTCAATCCTTAGTTGAAACAAATTATCAAATAGGTTTCTTCTTCTACAAAACTAGCTTTTGTTTATTAACAGACGACAGTTTCTAACATGCAGGGGTTTCTTTGTGCGGTTATGGATACTCAAATCTGATACCTTGGGATGTTTCAAAAGCCACGCAAGAAGAGTAATCAGGGGATTACTAAAAGTAAAACAGTAATTAAAGTGAACCTAATACCAAATTATCCTTGAACCAAGCAATAAGTATCACGAAGCAAATGGTTTTCTACAGATAAGGAATTATTTCATGAACAATACTTATGCATCTAACTTGGTATTCTGTATATTTACTGAATCCAATATTAATCAATAACTAAGCAGCTTATGATTGACGTCTTAATCAAATACTATACAAATCCATTATCTACAATATCCTCACATGCTGGCAAAAGTAAAAGTAAGAATTAATTATCTGATGAATATTTTTAGTAATTTTGGGTATCTAGTTTACATTCCTAACGTCAATGCCAGAAGATAACCAGTCCCGATTATCTGTAGACACGGGTTCCATATGGCGAAAAGGGCAAAGAATTGATGGAAATTATAGGAATGGATCACTGAATATCAGGGATGAAACATGCGTTTGTGAGATGGGTAAGCGTGACCTATTCCACAAGCAACATTCACGGCTTACACAAATTTAATTAAAAGTGTTTGTCTGTTACCTAGCGCTGAACTCAGCAATACTCCTGCCGTATGACGGCGGCCTGTAAACAATCGCGTCTGGTCCAGATAATCCATTGGTTTATAGTATGATCACACTATCAACCAAGTCACCAAGCCTCACAACCCGATCGATTAAACGCAATGGCAATTAAACAACATTTAAATGTTATCAAATTCATTATATTATCAACTGGCAATTATTAACGTTAGCAATGCTTTATACAATGTTGAATATTGTATCATCTCACCTCATAGAAACCACTTCCCAATGCTGGCCCAATCATTAGAGCAGCTCCAGACACAGACTTTAACACTCCCTACAGAACAAAATAGATACACATGAAAATAGTTGTTTATTTGTTTGTTATTTAACTCCGCAGTCAGCAATATTCCTGCTATATGTCGGCGATCTGTAAATAATCGAGTCTCAACCAGACAATTCAGCGATTAACATAGCGCTTAGGCACTGTAGCTCATCCGGTTAAATATAATGACAAGGTCCTTTACACCAGCCAAAGTTAACTTCAAACCATAATTCCTTAGACAAACAAAGTCATTATCTTTTATGCCAACGTTTTAGTACAGAATATTTGAAAAACGAAAGAATAAATAAACAATGGACTTATTGATGACTTACTGGAATTGCCATGTTTAAATTTGTTATACATCAAGTCTCAGTTCAACCAAGCTAATGTTGAATAAGGTAGAGTCAATTTACAATTTATCGCCTCTCTTTTCAAAGATGGCTGATCATATTTGTTGGGATTGGAGATATGTTTATCTCCATGATGACTGTCAGAAAACCATATGTATGTTAGATTTACGGTAGTGGTGTCTAGAATGGACGTTCAAAACACACACGGAAGTCCTAAAAGGCCAATATTATTCTAATCTGGTTAGGCAACTGTATGAGAATACCAAGGTCAAACGTCATGGCAAACTCACGAAGGACAATTCACTTGTGCACAAATATGTTCTCATGTGTGCAATGCATGACTGTAAATTTGAACTCATTCAATATCGTCCGCATTCACCGTCACATTTCCACCTTTTTCTCGAACTTAAAGAAGGAACTGACTGACAGACAGGCAGTATGTAAATGATGTTGATGTCATTTACGCTATGGAGAACCAGGATGAGGTCTTCTACACCAGAGGGTTCCAGGCACTCAGGCATAATTAGCAGAAGTGTGTGACCCTCGGAGGGATAACGTTGACAAATAACTAGCAACCAAATCCATCAGCGCAGTCCATCACAAGTTGAGCTCGGACCTGTTCAGTCACCCCCAGGTTTACCTCATTTTACCGAGGAAACGAAAATGTCCAATCCGCCTTCATTAAGGCTACCGAAACTGTCACAATGGCAAACTGTGTTACAAGAAACAGTGAAACTGCAGTGAACAGTGCCCCCAAAATGATTGCATATGTCATTAAAACTATTACATACGTAAACAGTTGCGATTCGTCCTGGAAAACAGAGTCCCACAATAGTAAAGCTAGATGTCATGACCGATGCTGTTCCCAATGCTTCCATACCCCTTACGAAGAAACAGGCAACAATAAATGGGATCCCGGACGGTAAAATATTCAAACATCTGGAAAAGAAACATAAAGAATGAATCCTTGTTTTAGCTGTTATTAACGTTACGAAACTCACTGTACTTTATCATAAAGATGGGTGCAAAATTACAAGTTTACAACACGTTTCATAAATGACAGTCATGTGTGTCTACATAAAAACTATGAGAATGGCCTTTAAATCAATTCGTACTCTCTTTAATTAACTATTCTTACAAACACTAAATAGGATAATTGATAATAGCAGGTTTCAAGAAAACACATATACAAAATTTGAACAAAGGTTATGTAGTTCTTTCCCAATCACTCCGATAGGGAGACAGGGAACTCTTCAATATTTTATTCAATTAACATTCGAAACGATGTATGTCCACAATTAATTCCGTTCGAATAAAACATATTACCCGAATATGATATCGCAGCAGCCAAATATACATAATCCGACAATGTAGAAGGTCCGGGGACTGAACCTGGATAACTGAAAATGGACTGTGCAAATACATCCATTTTATCGCAAGGAAAATAGTCACAACTTTAAAGGTTGGGGCTGGCTTTTAGAATATTGTTTGATATAAGGATAAGTTGACAACTGGAAAGTTGAAGTCATCCCTGTTGTCACATTGTCTTGTGGATAAGGTTTTGTCACACGGGAGGAAAGTATATGGTAGCTGGTTGGCCAACAGAGATATTGCCTGTAGATACCAAAGAATGAAGCTGCTGGAATATTGATCGACATAAAGGGAGAGGTGACTATTTGAACGTTGACGTCATCCCTCTCGGCATATGGTTGAAGTAAACATGTTATAATCAATGGTACAAATTATACAATAACTACCATAATAAATATTCCACAATAGATGCGTTAAACGTAGTGTAATTTTGATATTTCGTCCATGTAAGAACACTCTGCATCATTTGAACACGTACCAGATAGCCAAACACTGGCGATGACAGGAAGATGACGAGTTCTGAAGAACTATAAATGAAGCCTACGACAGTCAGACTTGTACCTTTCTTTGTTGCCTGCAGTGAAAATATTAGTTAATATATAGAAACACACACTATCAACATGACAACGTCTTTTTCACATTCAGAACAGTGCGTCGAAAGTGACGGGTAGTCATTCATAATGATGAATTTAAGTTATTGAGTGAGTATGGTTTTACGCCGCTCTCAGCATTATTCTAGCAATATCAAGGCGGGGGACACCAAAAATGGGCTTCACACAATGTACCCATGTGAATTTAAGCCAATTCAACATTGACTTTCGCATTATCATAGAGATTACCATACAGTTCAAGGATCCGATACTAACGCATCACTAGGATCCTTGTTGTCATGCATGGTATATGACATAAACTGAGTAGTAGTCTTTTTGTTTCGTGCAGAAATAGTGACAGCTGTTTAGTCCCTGGTGTTGGCGTTCTATAATTACGTACAAGGAGATGAAATAGGTCGTCTCATAAATTATGTGAAATAACTCGATGTGATCACTGAGCTCACATCTGCTCAACAACATGAACATAATATGTACATGTAAGTGCAGATACATGTAGATGCTTTCATGGGTGGGAAACTTACACAATTGATGGTACAGGCTCATTAGGGTCTTAAAGTACAAGCACATATCTTCCTTATTCTTTTCGCAGAGGCTGTTCTAGAATGGCTTGTTCCCAGTTGCACTCGCATTTGTAAATGAAATATGTTTTGACCCAAACTCATAAAATGATAGTGAAACACTTTCCGCAAGCACGAGACGAGAGTCCATTGTATTCATTTCATCCGATGTACGTGTGTAAAATATGACTTAGTACTGTTTCTCCTCCGGTTGTTCATCTTGTCCGTGCACATCTAGGGCGCAAGTAGACACTTCAGTCTGATAACCAGCTGCAGATAAATCGTGTGTTGTCTTGAATCCATCTACATTTTCATTGTGTCGTATCTCGGTATTTAGTATGGGTGTCGACATCACTGTGATCTGTAAATTGTCGGACGTTTTTCAAATGACGTATATGCTCATAAATATATAACGTCAATGCCACACAATAACCAGTCTTGATTTTCCGCCCCAAAGAGATTCCAATGGGTGTAAAAGGCAAAATATCGGTGCTAATTATATGACTGATCACTGAATATTAGTGATGACACCACGTTTTCGCAAAAAGGTTAGCAAGTCCTGTCCTTCCGGTAAAACCGTTATTCATACGGTTTCTATGAAAAAGTTAGTGCGTGTTGCCTGAAGCCGCACAGGAATACTACTAACATGCGACGGTTGCTTGTAAACAAACCAGTAATCAAAAACTCACGTATGGTTACAAATTACTCAATCTACGGTTAATGATGTACTATCATATGCATCCTTCATATTTTAACTGGGCCGGTCAGGTAAACTGGTTGTTAAAGCGTTCGCTCGTCACGCCGAAGACCCGGGTTCGTTTCCCGACATGGGTACAATGTGTTAAGCCCATTTCTGGTGTCCCCCGCCGTGATATTGCTGGAATATTGCTTAAAAACGGCGTAGAACCATACTCACTCACTCATATTTATATATTTATAAACTAAAGAAGTTTCGGCCACCCTTGTATTTTCATTGCAAACAATTGTGTGTATATCTAAATGAATATTAACTCTCTTGAACGTGTATGAAAATCTTACTCAAGGTTAGTGATGCAATTGTGAGCTGTTATTTACGAAATGTTACCTTTTTCTCCGTACAATAACTCTTGATGTGAAAGTATTCACAGCACAATCAAATGTCACTCATTGTTCTACAACACATTGTTCAAACATGTTCCACCAATAATGTATCATTAGACTCTAAGAATTTCAATTTATTTGTTCTCAAAAGATAAGATATTATGTGAAACTGTGAATAGAGTTCACCACTCTTCTTTGTTTATAATATGGCAAATATAAATATCTTCCTGTATTTGACTCGTTAAAGGCTGGCCGAATACCGATTAACTAAGGTTAGGTGAGGTGAAATGGGGTTTAACGTCGCGTCCAAGATTATTACACTTACATAGCGACGTGCATGCACGTGTGTGTGGCTGCTTGTACTAGTCCGTACTGATGCCGATTTATAGTGCTAGCTCACTGAGATACCATGCCGCAGATTAACATGGATACCCCACTCAGACACAGTATACTGACTCCGAGCCTACCAGTCCTTGTTTTATCCCATTAATGCCGAGCCCCAGGCAGTCTAACAACAAGTAACATCCTTTGGTATGACGTAGTCAGGGAGCGAACCACCAATCTACGCGCACGATGTATGAATTTGTAGTGCTAGCCCACTGAGATACCATGCCGCGGTTTAAAATGAATACCGCACTCAGACACAGTATACTGACTGCGAGCCGACAAGTCCTTGTTTTAGCCTCTTAATGCCGAGCGCCAGACAGGGTAACAACAAGTACAATCTTTTAAGGTCTTTTGGTATGATACGGCCGGGGATCGAACCGCTGGCCTTCCGCTCTGCGGGCGTACTCTCTACCACTAGACCACGGAGGCTAACTGAGCCTTGGCTGATATTACCTATTTTAAAAACAAACACTCTTGATTTATCACCCATGTATTCCGGGGCCGAAATGACTTAAATCTGTCTCAATGTTTATCTATTCCTCTCACATCACGAATCTGACGTGTGTTAATACTTAACTACACCTTCATAACCATATCAGGTAGACATTAAAATTATGTAGTTGTTATGTCAGCTTATGTCTTCATTTAGTACATACTTTATACAGAAAACCTAAGAGATTGTTGTGTAGATATACCTTGTGCATACCACGAATGTACAGTTGATAAACGAGTTGAGATGAACTGGGGTTTAACGTGTGTGCGTGTTTGTATGGGTGCCTTTCACTAGACCTAATGCCGGCTTTATAGTACTAGCCCACTGAGATACCATGCTGCAGTGTAATATGGATATCCCACTCAGACGCAGTATACTGACTCCGAGCCGACCAGTCCTTGTTTTATCCCATTAATGCCGAGCCCCAGGCAGTCTAAAAACAAGTAACATCTTTTGGTATGACGTGGCCATGGAGCGAACCACCAATCTACGCGCACGATGTATGCATTTTTGTGACTTACCTCTATAGCGAAAAAAGGTGCAATTAGGGACACACAGCACACAGCACAGAAGTTGGACAGAACAATGACTACCAGGGTCAGCCTGTTCCTCTTTGCGTCCGTCACTTGGGGCAGATCCTCCATGGTGGTGCACTGTGCCATTGTTATCTGTGTAATGCGATATGGCCGGCCAACACCACAGTGTGTTCACCGCGAATGACTACAAATAATGACAAACATACCATACAGAATGTTTCATAATGTAACTGGCAATTTGAAACAATTATATTCGGAGTGTCATGTCATAGATCTGCCTGCCAAAGGTGAGTCATGTGGCACGAGCAGCGATCCTCGACGATGGTTACAAGGAAAAACAACTTGTTATCACTTAAAGCGATAACACATGTGACTCCCCTCCCCTCATTTTATTCGGCTCTTGCCTCAAACATAGGTTACCGAGTAGTAAATATTCTCATACCGAGGATATATCAGTTATAATGTCTGTGAACTTTACAAGTAACAGCTGTTGCTTTCTACACATTAAAATTAAGCTTTGTTAATTACATAAATAAAATGAGCTTGTGAGAAGGAATATTATCATCGCACATGTGACCACCTGATTCTTATAGAGTTGACTATTTGTGGCATGCTGTGGATGCGGCACAACGATGCAATCTATATTGACTAGTATTGAGCACAACAACCAGTAGTTCAAGTGTTGATTTAAATACTGCTGAGGTGTCTTGCAAGAAACTGAGGTACCATAAGTCCTGCTGAGATGTTGTGGAGGAACCTGAGGCACCGCAAGTCCTGCTGAGATGTTGCGGAGGAACCTGAGGCACCGCAAGTCCTGCTGAGATGTTGTGGAGGAACCTGAGGCACCGCAAGTCCTGCTGAGATGTTGTGGAGGAACCTGAGGCACCATAAGTCCTGCTGAGATGTTGTGGAGGAACCTGAGGCACCGCAAGTCCTGCTGAGATGTTGCGGAGGAACCTGAGGCACCGCAAGTCCTGCTGAGATGTTGTGGAGGAACCTGAGGCACCGCAAGTCCTGCTGAGATGTTGCGGAGGAACCTGAGGCACCGCAAGTCCTGCTGAGATGTTGCGGAGGAACCTGAGGCACCGCAAGTCCTGCTGAGATGTTGCGGAGGAACCTGAGGCACCGCAAGTCCTGCTGAGATGTTGCGGAGGAACCTGAGGCACCGCAAGTCCTGCTGAGATGTTGTGGAGGAACCTGAGGCACCACAAGTCCTGCTGAGGTGTCGTGCAGAAACCTGAGGCACCGTAAGTCCTCTTGAGGTGTCGTGCAGAAACCTGAGGCACCGTAAGTCCTGCTGAGGTGTCGTGCAGAAACCTGAGGCACCGTAAGTCCTGCTGAGGCGTCGTGCTGGGCCCCGTTCCACAAAGCGATCTTAGGGCTAAGTTGATTGTAACTCACTAAGTATGCGATCTTAAATTATTGTTACGATCAGCCGCCCGTTACACAAAGCAATCTTAACTGAGAGAGTTGTAAGTTAAGATCAAAATGCTAAGTTGCTCCGGACCATCTAAGGATTGCTAAAATCGATCTTAATATTGTACCATAACAACAAAGATGGCGACTTTTATTATGGTGTGCAAGGAAATGCGTCGTCTGCTAAACATGACCAAGGGAGGCCACTCTAAGGGAAACTTTAGTATCTTCATGGCTAAAGATTCCGATCTTTGTTAAGATCGGCTACTTAAGAACTTGTAAAGTTACAATCGCCCTAAGATCACTTTGTGGAACGGTTGTAAACTTTAGCTATGGCAATTTTAAAATCGACGTAAGTCTCTAAGATTGATTGTAGTTACGATCACTTTGTGGAACGGGGCCCAGAAAACTAAGGAACCGTAAGTCCTGCTGAGGTGTCGTGCACGAACCTGAGGCGCCGTAGGTCCTGCTGAAATGTCGTGCAGGAAACTGAGGCACCGTAAGTCCTGCTGAGGTGTCGTGCAGAAACCTGAGGCACCGTTAGTCCTGCTGAGGTGTCATGCAGGAAACTGAGGCACCGTAAGTCCTGCTGAGGTGGCATGCAGGAAACTGAGGCACTGTAAGTCCTGTTGAGGTGGCATGCAGGAAACTGAGGCACCGTAAGTCCTGCTGAGGTGGCATGCAGGAAACTGAGGCACTGTAAGTCCTTCTGAGGTGACATGCAGGAAACTGAGGCACCGTTAGTCCTGCTGAGGTGTCATGCAGGAAACTGAGGCACCGTAAGTCCTGCTGAGGTGGCATGCAGGAAACTGAGGCACTGTAAGTCCTGTTGAGGTGGCATGCAGGAAACTGAGGCACCGTAAGTCCTGCTGAGGTGGCATGCAGGAAACTGAGGCACTGTAAGTCCTTCTGAGGTGACATGCAGGAAACTGAGGCACCGTAAGTCCTGCTGAGACACCGTTAGTCCCCATGATCTCCAGGTTTGTATTTATATGACATGTTTGTAGATATTAAAAAGCACGCACTCGTAAACACCATAAAATTTATCAGTGGCTATGGCTGTTCAGTTTATGAATAACATCTGGTTGCTTTGGAACACATTCTGAACACCATTTGGTGTTTATGGCAACGTTGGCAACATACACCATCCTCGGAGTTGCAAGCCACGCTTAACCAATAATCGACAAGACAACTGGATTCGAACAACACACCTGCGAAATCGATTCCAGCAAGCAACAGTGACTGCAAGAAGCATACTCGGTCGACGAGTATCTTCACAAACCGTACGTCGTCGCCTCAGATGTGTAGGGATTGTCGGCAGAAGACCCGCCAGACGTCCCAGTGCCAAGCACGTCTACAGTGGTGAAGACAGCGTCTACGCTGAACGGCCATGCAGTGGGGACAGGTTCTATTCAAGGACGAGTCTCGTTTTCACCTCAACCATAGCGAGTCCATTCACTTATGTTAGAATTTAGGTGAGGTGAGGTGAACGTCGCGTCCAAAATAATCCCACTTATATATCGACGTGCATGCACGTGTGTGTGTGTGGCTGCTTATACTAGGCCGGACAAGTCCGATTTACACTACCATCCCGCATTTCAACATGAATAACCCACTCAGACACAGCATACTGACTCCAAGCTGACCAGTGCTTGTTTTAGCCCCTTAATGCCGAGCGCCAGACAGGGTAACAACAAATTCCATCTTTTAATGTCTTTTCATATGACGCGGCAGGGGATCGAACAACGGACCTTCCACCCTTCGGGTGGACTCTCTACCTCTAGACCACGGAGGTGGTGTCTGGGCCAGGAGACAAGTCGCAAATCAAACAATAGAAGGCCTCTCAAATGGCAAAAGTTTTACTCTTATATAGGAACACTCAGCCTCATGGAAACTGTTACCTTCCAGTATTTTGAAAAAAGTATTATGTCCTGGAAGCGAATCAACGCCTGTAAACAAGTTCACCGCGGAACTAATATACCTGAAGGATAAGGAAGGTGTCAAAGCTGGAGGTCTCTCTAATTGTACGAGTGCTTCAATCTGCTGCCACTCAAATGATCAGAATTAAACTTACCGTGTATACTGCGAGATAACAGTGTACGTAAGTGTGAATTGCCAATGCAAGTGTATAAGCTGTCCAGATTATCCCGGATTCCGTTTGGCGTAATGGACAAATAGCTGTGAAAATAATATGAACGGAGCAGTGAAAATCAGTGATGACACCATGTGTAACTCTACCATGACTGCGTGAAATACTCGAATTTGATTAGACAATCACTAAAAATTTGACATAATCAACTTTCAATTGGAAATCTGTCTGATTTTATGACCGCTTCACTCAGCACTTACACAACTGACAACACTGTCGCATTGCTTCTCTGACTCGTCGGACGATCACAAAAGGGACAATTGTTTGATTCTTGAGGATAAAGATTTGGCAGTCAGTAAAGTATCCTCCACTCTTGCACAAAATGTGAAAACTGGCACGTCCGCCGCTTTCCAAATTTCAATTTTGCTACTGTCAACATGAATTAATAGTTGTTTGCTTTCTTTGGACGAATGTTGTTTTTACTTTACAATGTTAACAAACCACAACGAAAGACACATAATACCCCTTTCACAGACGAGTTCAATTTGCCTCTAGTGCCATGCAGATTACGCACTGTCTTCCGCGGACAGAAAGAGTTCGATTTTAAATCGGTCATGGTAGAATGGAGATAAACGTACTGTGTTTGAAAATTGGATTAATGTTAGACCGAATTGACAGCCTCTAAAGTTCATTTGAAACCGAACGAGGTATCTAATGTTTAAACAGTACGTGTCTCTCCTAATGGCCCGCCCTACTGGGTGCACCCGCCCGACGCCGCACAGCAGCCATCATGCCATACGACAGTGTCCTGGAAACATAGCGGACAATCAAGTAACATTTACTGATTTCGTTGAAACTAATAGAAACGACATGTTATTTTTGAATTAAGTCTGCTGTGTACAAGTGCAGACATTCTGCTGCATATAAGTATAGAAATAAATTTAAGAAATATATTGGTTTTGCAACATAACGTGCTTTACTTGTCTAACATAACAATAATGACCAAGAATAAAGTAACAGTTAAGAGATAACATTCACTAACATTACTGTACATAAGACAACTCACTCACTCACTGTAACATTCAGTTAAAAATGCAAAGACATTGTCTGAAAAAGCCAAGACACTGGTGTCATAATATTATGAGTTACGGTGTCTTTAGTTGCTATTTACGGTATCATGGTAGGTTAGCAGATAAATACTGGGCGAGGCTGACCATTGCAAGTATTTTTCTGCTAACCTAATGTGTCAATCTCATTCACACACGGAAGCAAATTAGAGTAGATAGTAATGAATGAAACTTGAAACTTTACACACTTTCTGCGTTCGCAATGTAGTGTAAGTAGCAAAAGGAGAAGTGCCCGCATTACATATAATTTATACACAATGTTTTATTTAATTTCAACACATTTATATCAACAATAAGATAATCAATAAGTCCATGGATAATGCTTTGTTCATTGTTTTGTTTTCAATTGTACGTAGTCTACTGTAAGAGAGTAACAGAAGGTTTTGAAAATTGGATTCATCCAGACAAGTTCTAAAACAACAACTGTTGTTTATTAAACGGAAAGTGTTTTTTTTATGAAAAGAATTAATTCATTTCCATTTGTTCAGTTCTTCGAATGATCAAACATGACAACATGGTGACATCTATCACTAA